CCCTCTCTTGATTAGTTAGTCCTTGAGATCCTGCTTTCCCTTTCCTTGTATTATATCTTTCTATTTGTATTTCTTCTTTGGAGTTCTTATACTAGGGGTGCATTAGATTTTAAATGGAAACAAAATGCAACTAGCAAGCATGCTCTTGAGCATCAGTGGCATTTTCTAATGTTTCTAGGGCAGCAAGAGAGGATGCTTCCAGTGCATTCATATCACCGACAGAACTTGAAAAGCCTGCTTTACCATAACTATGGAATAGACACATGAGCTGTTTTGTTACACCCACATGTTTTCTCAAATACAGGATCACCGGGGGTCGAAAACCTCTGACTTAGCAGGTGTAGGGGATACAAAAGCTCCAGGATGACATGGCACCGAGAAGGCCAAAAGACCCTACAAATTGGCATTTTCATAACTGCATTACAAACCCAAGCTGTGTAACACAAACTTCTCATAGTCTGTACTCGATCACTTTTTCTCTTTTGTTGTTTTGAGACAGGCACTCACTATGTAGCCCAGTCTAGCCTTGAACTCATAGCAATTCTATTAATTTGGTTTCCAGAGTGATGGGATAACAAGTATACACCACCATGCCAGGTGCTTTTTCCCTTCTCCTCCCCTCCTCATTGCCGTTTACATTCAACTAGAGCACAGGTCTGTACTGCTTGCTGTGTGTTGTGGTTACTTTTCTCTTACTGCTGAGACAAAATATCTGATGCCCAAAATTAAGGAAGGAAAGATTTTTTCATCTCACGGTTTATGGAGGTTTCATACTTGGCTGGTTCAAAGGCAAAGTGGCATGTGGTAGAGGGTAACAATTCATGGCAGCAGAACACAGCCAAAGCTACAAGAACAAAAAAGGGCATGGCAGCAGCAGGTCTTTATCCCGTCCTTATCTTATATTCAGGCTATGTACCCCAGGGTGGGTGTAGCACTCACACCTGCAATTCCAGCACTGGACCATGAAACAATTAAAGAACTCCAGAAGCCAGCTACATGACTGCATGAGGCTTTGGGGGGACATCAAGATACAAGCCATAACATTCTGCCCCTGCCCCCCAAAGACATATGCACATCCATTTATGCCAAAGTCATTTTTAGTCCATCTCTAAGAGCTGCTAAAGTCCAATTCCCAAGATAAGGCAGACTCTTAGTTGTGAGCCCCCATACAAATGAAAAGTTAAACACTTCCAACATTCAATGGCACAAGATAAATGTTACCGTTCCAAAAGGTACAAATAAGGAGATACAAAGGAATGGGATCAAAGCAAATCCAAAATCCAGCAGGGCAAACATTAAGTCCTGTATTTCCATGTGGAACATCTGAAGCAATCTGTGGTAAGTTGTAAGCTTCAAAGGCCTTGTGTGGCTCTGCCTGTACAGCACTTCTGGTAGCTATACCTCCTATGGCTTATGTCTGAGGCTTGCTCTGCTCAGTCTTTGCAGCTTTCCTTAGAAGACCCATGTTCCTTATTTTTCCAAATTTCTGAGTTCCTTTGGCTTCAAACTAATAGCTTCACACACTGCCTTCTCAGAGGCACACTGCATGGTCTTCCAGGCCTTCTTCTGAAATCTAGGTGGCTTCTTAACTGCGAACTCTTGTATTTTGTATGCACCTAAAAGCAGCACCATATGGTTGATGCCCCCTAGTGGTGGAGCAGCAGCCAGGCTTTCTTCTCTCTTGGTTGTAGTGGTAAAGTGCCTGGATCATTGAGTACTCTAAACCTGATTCTGAGGAACAAATTCTCTGTACTCCTGCCATTTGGAACCTTGTGCAGCTGCCACCTCCATTCAGGAACATTGTCTGCTGTCATTGTGGAACATGTTGCTCTGTGGCTTTCTCCTCAAAGCAGAATCTTTCAATTTTGCAGGTCTGAGGCTGAAGAGTGGAGACTTACTACTTCTTGTGATGCCCTCAGGCCATCTTTTTACATTCTCTTGTTCCTTCTCAGCAATCAAGATCTCCCCTGCTCTTTGAAGTCCAGAGCTTTATTGGAACTACCCCAACTCTCCTGGCCAATCTCACAATCTTTTATATCTTTTATATCATCCTGCTGGGCTTTTTTTCTCTTAATTCACAAAATCTTGCTAAAAGGCCCCCATCAATAGGCAAGCCCCCAACCCAACAATTGTTAGAATTTCTTCTGCCAGATTAATTCACCCACTTTTAATCTTAGTCTCAGAGAAAACCTCTGGACATGAGCAAAAGGCAAACTTTTTGTCAAGCCATAACACACATCATTTGTAGTCCAACATCCAATGTAGTCCTTCTTCCCAGCAGAAACCACCCAAGCCCAATCTTTACCAGCAAGACTTCTACCAGTCTTCCGAGCTCTGATCAGAATCTCCCACACAGAACAGCCTAAGGCATCCCAGCTCTCCTCTTTCAGGCAACATCTCTGAACCTTTCCAAACTCTTCCCACATGTCATTCTCAAAGACTTTTGAATCACATGGTCAGATATAGTCTCAGCAATGACCCCACTCCTGGTACCAAATTGTCTTGGTTACTATTTTCTTGTTGCTGATACAAAATACCTGATGCCCAAAATTAAGGAAGGAAAGATTTAGTTAGCTCAGTTTGTGGAGGTTTAGTCCATATTTGGCTGGCTCCAAGGGCAACAGTTCATGGTAGCAGAAAACAGCAAAAAAGGGAGGAACAGCAGCAAGTCTTTTTCCCTTCCTCACATTTTATGCAGGCTACATGCCCCAGGGTGGGTGTAGCACTCACACCCATAATCCCAGCACTGGACCACAAGTCAATAAAAAAATTCTAGAAGCCTACCCCATGACTGCATAAGGCTTTGGGGGGACACGTAGTCACAAACCATAACACTGTGCTATGATGACACATGGGGGTGTAGAGGCCAGACTAAGAAGCTCTGTTTTATTTCAGTTGTGCCCTTCTGCAGAGGCCCTTCCCATGGTCTTCTCCAGGATGCCAGCATGAGAGAGTTTTCCAAAGTGTGGCAAATGCAGGACAACTCAGGGGCACACAGAATAAATGCCCAGTGTCTTCTGTACCTCTAGGGAGATGTAAAACACTGCAAAGAAAATGATTCCAAATCTGGGAGGTGCCAGTAACACATGGCACACAGAATAAATGTTCATTGTCTTCTCTATCCTAGAGATGGAACTCATTACAAAGGAAAAAGACCCAAGTCTGGGAGGTGAGTGTTCTAGTTCAGCCTCTTAACACAAGGAAGTGGCAGTGGGAAAACAGAAAAGAGCAGAGTAGAAAGCCAAATGCTTTCAAGACTAAGGCAATAAGAACAGTTCCCACAACTGACATAAAATAAAACCAGTAATGGAAGTGTTTTCTCTCCAGCATTGCACAGGCTTACTGTCTTGTGGTCAAACTGCTCAGCTGTATGTTTGATCATTGGAAATTTCTCTCTAATCCCTTGTCCGTAGGGAACAAGCCACACAGCACTACCAGAGTGATGCACCCCTTTATTTCACTAAAACAAATAAATGCAAAGGAAAAGAAATAAATGCACAAACAATAAATGCATAAATAAATCAAATAAATGACCAAATCAAACCAAACCAGAAAACAAAAGCCACAGCACTGTTTTTTATTTTTCCTTTTTATCAAAATGCTGTCCATAGTGTATCCCAGTTCAGTTCCTTGGGAGAACTTGATGAATGTAGTACTCTACACATGGCACTACCTGATAAGTTTCCTATTATGGAAGAGAAGCACTTTACCAAGAGGTGAAAGAATGAGTATACATATTGTACTTGAGTGAGCAAGGAAAAATACCTTGATCAACCCATGGTCAGCTCAAAATACAATGTATTGAAAGACACTGAATACACATATTGTAGCATTCATCGGTAAGCTGTGGCTCCTTTAAAACTGATCAACACAATCATATTGATGTGTATTTGGTAAAATGTAACACATAGCTTATTTCATAATAAGGCACTATATATCTCATGGAATTTACTGACGGTGCTGCACTGCAAATTACTGGATGTTTTCATTTGGCGTCCTGTTGCTGACACAGCAGGGCCTCGCTGCTGCTGCCCAACATCTTGAGCAAGTATTGCAGCACGGACACTAGTGTAAAATCAATTAATTGTTTTTGCCTTTATGCTTCTGAATTCAGGGCCTTGAACATGTTACAGAGTTACTTTAGATTGGAGACACAGCCCCAGGGACTTTACTTTTTGGGACACAGCATATAAGGCACCAAGCCCAGGACGAACTCTGACTCCGGAGCAGCTGGGGAGGCTGTGGGCCGCCATTGCTGTTCCCACAGCTTCCGCCCAGACCTCATCCCCCATTCCACCCGTCCAGCATCAGGGTACCCGTCCCACTACGTCACCATTGCGTGGCTGGAGGGTCTCCCGGTGCTTCCCAAACAGTCTGCGGTTAGTAGAAATCGTTAAAGCCAGCCTGGGTACCCAGCCAGAGAAGCTCTCAGCACTCTAGTCAGAATCTGGGCTTTGGCGCCCGGGGAATAAGTGCCCTCCTCCCCCTCCCCCCTCACAGCCCGGGGCCACCTGATTGGACAGTTTCCTACAGCCTGTCCTTCAACACTGATTGGCTCCTGCTCCATGGCCCGCCCTCTGAGCTGACAGTGATAGCACAAGCCAATTCTTATCGTGTGTTTGCAACTCAAAATGGGAAATTATAACCTAGACACTTCTTGATTAGCTTGTCTCACAGGAATGCAGACCTGTCTTAGTCTGAATTTAAGAAGCGTTTACTTCTGACTTTGCACAGCTGAGTGTTTTTCGGCTTGGAAGATACAGTCTTACTATGTAATTTAGTTTGCTCTTGAATTCACTACATTGCTGAGGCTGGTTTTGAGCTCTCAGTGATCCTCCTATTTCAGCCTCCCCAGTGCTGGGCTTACGGGATGCACCACCATGCCTGGGCACTTCTTGTTGGACTCACTGGGTTCTTTCCGTGTGTCGCCCTTCCAAATGGGATCAACGGTCAACTAAGCCTGCTCCAGAGTTAAGAAATCACTGTGAGAGACTGTCACACAGCCAGGCAAGGCCAGAACGCAAAAGAACAGAAGGAGGCCCTACTGTTGTCAGAGGTGAGAAATTGGGAGTACGGTCGTTAGCTTCATGGACAAGACTTTCATTGTATCTCTTGATTTATCAGAAAATACGTGGTAGAGCCAGCAAGATAGCTCAGGACCTACTGAGTAAGCACCTATTTACTCAGTAGCAAGCACCTACTTAGGCAAACGCAGGGACTAGGGTTTGATCTCAGCACCACATACCCCGCTGGCCCCACCCCTGGGCCCACTGAGCGGGCCACCAAGTGGCACACACCTGTAATCCCAGTGCTGGGGAGGCTGAAGGCAGGAGGATCATTATGAGTCCTAGCTGCATAGTGAGACCCTGTACAAATACATAAAAATTTTTTTTAAAACAAGGAAAAGAAAAGAAACTACATACCAAAGAGAGGCAAATGATTGTTGGATAAGAGTAAAGACTTCAAACTAAAAGTAGCAACGTTTGAGGAATGAACAGAGGGTGCTTGCAATCTGAAGTCCTTACATTTCCAGGCCAAGTGAATATATGGCAAACTGGCATATGATTGCTCAATAGAGGCACTTTCTATTGTTCAGGCAGGAAAATTGAAGGACTTCAGACTATAAGCACCCTGTATTCTTTCCTCAAAAGTTGCTTTGTCTTTCAACACATTAATATTGCTAGAAGGAAAATATGACCTGGAGTCATGTGACACTCTTGATTAATATTTGGGTTGGCACCACAGGTGCCTAGCATATTAGTAAAGCACACTGCTGATATGTCTAGTTGAGTCATGGAGGTGTGACATCAGGGACCTTATCTTCTTCCTCACCCTTTCTTTCTGGCACATTTTACCTCTGCTTTCTGGATCTCATATAACAGTTATCTTTTTTTTTTTCACTTCCTTGCATTGTGACATTTCTCCATTGTGGTCAAATAACAACTGACTTCAGTCTCTGAAATCATCAGCTAAAATAATCCCTAAACAATAACAATAAGTTAAATAACAATAAGTTATTTTGTATTTATTGAAAAAAATTTGATAAAATTAACAGTAAGTATGTGAACAAAATAAACTGCAGATGCATCAACACTTTCATTAAGAGTCTGTATGAGTTATCTCTATAAATGCTGTTCATAAGGGTTTTTTTTCATAGAAACATATTTGTGTGACTCCAGTAACTCTGCATATTAGAGCCACTTTCTGTCGTGACCAGTAAGCACCTCTGAAAGAACAAAGCCCCAATACATTTACACACACATCACCAATTTTCCAGTGCTCTGTGACTTGTAGCCATAACCACTCTTTCTAAAGCTGTTCTGAGCAGCTGGAGGTAATAGGCCAGAGAGATCTGCAACACAGGAGGGTCCACGGGGATGGTCATGACCTTCCTCTTTAGGCTGAATGTACATCACAGCTCGAGGAGTCTGTAGAAGGTAGAGAGGCTGCTTGGAGTTGCTGGCGGGCATTTCAGTAGAGGTCGTTAGGATTTTGAGGTAAGGTTTTGCCATCAGGTGCAGATGCTAATCTGCCTAAGAGAAAACTCTTGGCCTGACTGGAACCTGAATGCTTGACCACGGTATTCTAGCTTACTATGTGGCCTGAGCTGATTATCATGAGCTGGGTATTATCTGATCTACCATGTCATAGGGTTGGACATGAGCAGCTCCACGAGGAAGAACAGGTCTAGAATGTACAAGTTACATGAAGAAGCTGCTCAGATGCTCATGAGGGAGGGAGGAAGGGAGGAAGGCGGGAGAGAGAGAGAGAGAGAGAGAGAGAGAGAGAGAGAGAGAGAGAGAGACTGAGAGACTTAGAGGTCATTTTGCCTAACTGCCTTTCCAAAAACCCAAACACTAATTATTAGCATGTCCTCAAATATGAACTCTTCATAGTTAGTGAGTTCTTAGATCCTATTATTATAGTAGAAAATTCCTTGTAGGCTGTGTTTGTTTTCAGTTCATTGGTGAAAATGACTGAGGAAGTCCCTGCTCTCCCTGAACTCATAGTGTAGACAAGAAATTAAGAGCTCAGGGACTTAAAGTTCAGCATATCAATACTTGATGAAAAATACCTGTTCC